GAAATAATATCATGTGAAATTGGTGAAAAAGAGAAGAAGAAAAAATCCTGAGAAGGTGTATCAAAAAAAAACAGAGTTAGGCCTAGTAGATTCTGTAGGAGAGGCATGGGAAAGCACGACATAGTTAGGAGGAGGAAAAAGGCTGTCAAATTCCTCCTTGTCATGAACAGATTTGGACAATGTAGTAGGAATCTGAACATTTTTGGGAGAAGTATGACACATATAACAATCAATCTCCCAACGATTGATTGCCAAAAAATCATAAATTGATACCCCTAGACTTGAAGCCTGTGTAATGACACTTGAAGTAGTGGTTAAAGTATCAGAATTTGTAAAACACAAACTTCAGAAATCATCTTATACTGTGAAAAAGGTGAATATGAGAAAAAAAATAAAAATAAACAAAGGTAAGTTATTGTGGCAAACTACTACAGAAAACTAACTATAGTAAATGAATAAATCAAATAAATCACTACTTTACAAAAAAAAATTAAATGAACACGTGAAAAGAACACAACTGAAAAACATCTGCACTCGATCACTGCCTAAGGAGAAGTGATAGTTTGGTAGAATTAAATAGAGGGAGTTGCATGCATCAGGATGGTGTGTCGCATTTCTATTGGTGGAGGGTTGTTGCATGATGATCTACATGCCAGATGCAGTTGAACCACACTGATTGTGGGTTATGTGGGAGTTCAAGGTTTGTAGCATTCAAAAACATTTTTGAATATAGAGGGCAGCACTAAACAGGAATAGCTATTGATGTGAGAAGAGGTAACGTACCATATGAGAAAAGTATAGATACTTGATAAAATTTAGTTATATTTCTATCAAAACAACTGAAAAAAAAAGCATTTTTAGCATTGGTGTAATTGATTCCAAACTGTTTTGGTGGAAACTGTTCTGCTTGTGTTATTTTCAAGAACCTACAATCAACCGATCTTCACTAAAACTGTATAATGCACTAATGCTACCTCATCAAGAATATCAAGTCCAGTTCTGGTAACAACATTACTAAAAGGATATTACTGCCCTAGAAAGAGTTCACGCTGAAAGTGCAACAAGATTAATAGCAGTGTTGAAATGTATATCAGGCAAGAACAGGTTAAAAAATTAATCATTTCAGTCTGGACAAAAAGTAAGCTTTATTGAGATTTAAGTGAAGCATTTATTTACAGTAAAAAAATTGTAGCCACAGAGAACAAACTGCCAAACCATACTGTTCGTCCTGATCCTTCAATACACGGCTTGAAAAGGACTTTGTTTCAATTAACTATTAACAACAAAGATGGGACAAATGGCTTCTTGTTTATAGCTTTTTTACACTGTCTTGAAAAAGATTGCCTACTTCTGTATTTGTTTTTTAAGAACAGCTTTTTCATAGCTGCCAATAAACTTCTCCAATGTATGTGGAGCACTCTGGGGGCCCTATCAAATAGGTTTTAGTAGATGCCTTAGTAACAAATGTCTGAGGATGGCCTTTAGAATCATGTAAGGTATCTGCCACTGTCATTTCTAATGATAATAGTATATGCATGCTCTCCATAAAAATGTACACATCTTTATAAACAAAAATATTTTCCTGAAACCAAAAACACTTTCCAGAGTAGTTTGCATAAGCTTATTACTCCTTTTACCTCACTTCTCACTTATTGCATCATGTTATTGCATTTTCTTTGATTTTTCAATATTCTTTTAAAGCTACTACAGTGTTATCTGTGCTAGCCATCCCTAATTTTGAACTGACAGACTATGGAAAAGGCAGCTGGGAGCTAGTCAAAACCACCCATTGCTAATTCTTGAACTACACTTGTCTAACCATTTCCTTTATAATGCACCCATGGTCCCTAAGTGTGGAGCATGACTTTTGTGTAGTAACATGACATGAGCAATGGACATGCAGATCAACAGTCCAGCGTGCTAACCAATGGGCTACGCTCAGCTCACATTATGCATTTCAATCTATGTAATATGCAGTACTTGCCCATTTTTGACTCTCTTATTCAGGGTTAAAAAGTGTTTTTAAAAAGCTTCTTATGCAATAATATTTACATATCATATACAATTACATCAACTGAAAGAAATGTAAAAAAAACATTGTTGGGCATATTACATTGTTAAGAACAAAAGACATAATCTGAGGGTTATTACAATAACTGATTATTCAGAAATCCTTTTCATATTTTTGTGGAAACCCTGGAACTTCTGTATGTATATAATATACATTGTAAATGTGTAACATGAGTGTAAGTTTCTATTTCTAGGAATGACTCCCAAAAATGAAAAGATCAAAGCGTAATAGCTGACACCCAATTCCACAAAAACAGAATTTTGAGAAATCAATAATATTTTCTGAAGCAAAAGCCTTGGAACAACAAGTTTCCATTTCCAAAAGTGACTTCTTAAACCAAAAAAATAACATTGTAATAGTAGATACCTTATTATACTCAAAGAAACACCATTTATTTTGGGAGAGGAGTTAATTCTATACCCCAAGACAGAAGCCTCATAATATATGTCACATTTATGTGACACACATATGCATTGTCAAGTCTAACACAAATGTAAATATTTGTAAAATGTATATATATATGTTATGCATTAATTCTTTAGAAGTTTCTCATTTTTCCAAAACAAAGAATTGCAGTGTAACAGCAGTCTCATTACTCTCATGAAAAGAATTAAAAGTCACTTCTGAGTCCTATAACAGAGGCCTAATATAGCAATTATTATGTCAAGTATATATTCATTATCTGTAGATCATCTGATGAGTGAATTTTCCAGATTAAGGAAGTATCTCTGAAAGAAAAATCTTCATCTCAATCTTCATATAAAATTTAGGATTTTATACGTTAAACTTATAAATCTTTAATCAATATATCTTTTTCAGTTTTTGTGATAGTTTCCTATACTAAAAGGTGCCTGTGTAATTAACATTTTTCTTTTTAAACTATTATAGGAAAAAAAAAAAGAGTTGTTTATAGCCATGTAGTAATACAACCAATAACACTATTGGGCACTGTGAGAAGAGGATTACACTGTATGAATTTTTCAGATACCGATTTTTTTCTACAATGTTCTGGGTTTTACCCACTCTCCAATACAGGTTATCTATAACTTAGTACAAGTAATAGTATAAATAGTAAAAAGCAATAATACTTGGTGTAGTACCATAACTAATACTAGTTGTTACCATATAATGTGTGTGTGTGTGTATATATGTAAGTGTGTGTGTGTGTGTGTGT